ATTTAACAAAAAGAAAAGGCTTAAAAAGGAAAATAGCCCTGAAATATACACACACACAAAAAATGCACTATAGTCGTCAGAAATATACATACCCATCTGAAAAAGTCCACCCAGACAAATTGGCTGCTTCTGAAAGAGCTTTCCTCCATCTGTGCACTTTGTGAATATTATTCTTGAATTTGCATTCATGTTTACCAAGCGCTTCACCAAAAGATCCTCTTTGGTGCCTTACATCCGAGGGCTCCACCTTGTAAAAAATGGGCCACACTTTCTGTTGCCTCAATTTTTTACACTCAAGGATCTTATCGAGTTCATCCAGGCACCACTTGGACGCTGCATATTTTGAAGAGAATACGATTATAGAAATCCTTGACTTTTCAATTGCTTTGAGAAGTGATGCTGATATTTCTCCTCCTCTTTTGAGCTTATCATCTATGAAGGTATTGATTCCCTTCTGAACCAAAGCACTGTACAAATGATCTGTAAAATTATGGCGTGTATCTTCACCTCTGAAACTAAGAAACACATCATACGTGCATGAATTGGAGAAAGAAGAAGAGGAAGAAGAGGCTGCTTGATTGGCCATAGAAACCATATTCATGTCAGAAACTATCTCTTGTTATATTAAGGCCTTGTGCTTTATCACATATAGGAAGCAGCTTCCTGCTGCCTGCAAAAATGAATGTAAAGTCAAAAGTGAGGAACCTTCGGTTTGATATTCCTTTGTCACTGACGCGTTCACATGACTGAACCAAGTCGACAGCTGGTCTTTCACTGTTTTTTTATATACTGAATTTATACTTTTATATTCCTTTTTTGTAATCTACAAGACCTGAAGTGTTGGGATCCAAAACCTAATTTGGAAAAGGTAAGGAAATAGCAATTGGAAATAAAAGGAAGAAAACAACTTTTTCATTTCATGCCTTCCTCAGAAACCACGAGAAGGATATATACAGACTCTCAAATGCCAGATGGCCACAGGCCAGCTAGATGACAACTAATTCCCTACAAATAAGGAACACTGCTAGCCTTTATTCTTAATGGAAAATATAGGTGATAGACTAGTGATAGGGTCCTAACATGAAGATGAAGATAAGAATGTCTTACGTACAAATGCGAGCCTTGAATTATAATTTTATTACCAGTAATCACTACAAGAGCAAAGCCCCTGATTGAAAAAATGAAACCTGTTGTTATCCCGAACTATAATTTCCCGGTTGTATAATCTTGACACTAACTTGGCAAAGGAGTGACAGTCAGAGCACATTCTGAGATTCTTAACCACACGAATCGGCACGCCTCGCCCTGTACCGATCAGCCCAAAAGCTATGGCAAGTTTCTCGCTATGCCGACTGAGCAAGTACTCTTTTTCCTTCTCATCAACATCAAGCAAGACATTGTCCAAATCAGGAACATGGCCGGCTTCTCTCAGTCTGCAGTTTATTTCTTGTAGCATCAATGTAAGCTGGCTCTTCTCTGTGTTTGTATCACCACCAGAAATAAACTCATGGATCATTCCATTGACCTCTATGGAGCTTGATCCGGGCACCTTGTGTATCCCTTTCTCCTTCAAATGTAGCCTCACTTTTGCAACATCAGCCCATTTCTCAGCAGATGCATATATGTTTGATAGAAGCACATGAATCCCAGTCCTCTGAGTAGGCAACTTGGATAACCATTCGGCTGCGTATGATGCAATTTCGACATTTTTGTAGGTTCGACAAGCGGCCAAGAGAGTCCCCCAAATGACGTCATTAGGCTCCATTGGCATGGTCTTTACCAGATCAAAAGCTTCTCCCAAGAGCCCGGCTCGGCCTAGTAGATCAACCATGCAACCATAGTGAATAATATGAGGGGAAATTCCATGGACTGACTTCATTGACCTGAAAATGTTCCACCCTTGTTTCACAAACCCAACATGGCTGCATGCTGTTAATACAGCCACAAAGACTACTTCATCTGGTTTCACCCCTTGCCTAATCATTTCATCAAAAAGCTCTAGAGCCCGTTCCCCATTTCCCTCCATGGCCATTGCTCCAATGGCTGCAGTCCAAGCAGAAACGTCTCTTCTCGCCATGCTACTGAACACTTTCATTGCACTTTGAGGATCTCCACATCTAGCAAACATGTCAACTAAGGCTGTGCCAAGCCGCATATCACAGTCAATTTTATTTTTCTCAATATAAGCATGGGTCCACTTTGCAAGATCAAGAGCTCCTAGATATCCGCAGGCAGATGCCACTTCCACCATGGTCACCCTATCTCCTTTTATTCCGTCAGCCTGCATCACCCGAAAAAGCTCAATTGCTTCCACAAACATACTCTCTTGGACTAAAGCACCAATCATGGTGTTCCAAGAGACAAGATCACTCTTCGGCATCTCATTGAACATCTGCCAAGCTGATTTCACATCACCACTTCTGATAAAACCAGCAATCAATGAGTTCCATGACACTACAGTCCTGTTCGACATATTATCGAAAATTCTGCAGGCCATCTCTTGTTTTCCACACTTCATGTACATGTCAATCATGGCATTACAAATAGCATCCCAACCTTCGAGTCTATTTCTGATCACATAACCATGGCAGCACTTTCCAGACAGAGAATCGCCTAGTTGTGCACAAACAGAGATTGCAGACAGCAGTGTAACCTTGTCTGGTCTTGGACCTTGTCTAAGCATTTCATCCAATACAGCAAGTGCCTCCCTAGCCAGTCCCTGACGCACATAATTGGACAAAATTGTATTGTAAAGAACCAAGTTTTTTTCCCCACATTCGTCAAAAAGCCGCTTTGCAGCATCAGTAGCTCCACATTTCATATACATATCAACAAGTGCATTTACCACAAGCGTATTAACCTTCACTCCCGACTCCCCAATGTAAGCACACACCCTCTCACTCAATTCAAGATCCTTCAACTTTGCACAAGCAGAAATGACACACACCATGGTTACCGAATTTGGTTTAATACCAGCTGCCACCATCTCAAAAAACAAAGAAACAGCCTCCTTTGGAAACTGCCTCCTAGCATAACCACAAATCAAACTAGTCCACGACACGATATTTCTCTCGGCCATTCCATCGAACACCTTTCGGCTATAATCCAACTCCCCACATTCAGCATAGAAATGGATCAAAGAATTCTCAATAAATGCATCTTCCTCCAAACCCATCTTAACAAGTGCTCCATGGAGCTGAACCCCTTCACTGAAAGCCACAACCTTGGAGCAAGCGCTCAGCACAAACGGAAATGTGAACTTATCGGGCAAAATACCCTTCACCACCATCTGAACATAAAACAAAACAGCCTCATCACTAAGTCCAGCACTAGAGTAACCCCTTATCAAAGAATTGTACATGAACAATATATTACCCTTTGTTTCTTCGTCTTCAAGGAACAAGTTGAAGGCTTTCCGGGCATAATCTAAGCTTTCAAGGGTGCCCATTTCGGCACATGTAGTAATTAGCTTGGTAACAGTAGAGGGTCTGTTTCTGAGGCCCTTTTTAGTTATTTGACAGTGAAGTTGCTTGACTTCGTTCATGGTTTTACAGTTTCTGAGTGACCCAGTTGGGGAAGTGTCCTTGGCCATGGTTTTGGGTTCCCTTTGGTTTGTGGGAGCTACGAAGCTTGGGGTGGCTGAGACCAGAGGACTTAGTTGAAGCGTTGCAGCCATTTTGGGATGCATCTGTTTTGCCTGTTTGGGGTTTTGCACCAACTGTCAACTAACTTAACTGAAATGCTTCCTTTTGCATTGCGGTTGGCTTGAACGATACTGAATTACTTCAAACTTGGTACGCCGACTGTTCAAAGTTCAGAACTTTTTTTATTTTCTTTCTTTCTCTTTTAGAAATTTTGAATTACCTCTTTTCCTCTGTTTTCCTGTGAAGGGAATGACATCTAAAATATCCGTCATTTAGTAGTTTTTGAACCCAAAAAAAAAGTTGACAATTTCTTCAAACATTTAGAAAAACAAATGATTGATTTTTAAGTTGAAAGAACAAAATACACCAAATACCTCTACTTAAATTGAGATAGTGGAGATAATGGTAACAATTGCAAAGTGGAGATCTCAGTATTTAGGTATTTCGCTTGAGGGTGGCTTTTTTGCTCAATACGGGTTGCATGCGTATATGTGAGACCATCTCCAACTCAAACGAGGCTAAACCCAAATTTCCCCTTCAAAATACAACTGTTCATGTATTATCCGGACTCAAACATTTTTTTTCCTCCAACCCAACAAGACTCAAAATTTGAGTCTGTAACTTTATTAATTATTTAAGAATCGTTTAACTCAAAAAAAATATTTTGTGTTTAATTTTTCTTAAGTTAATTTTGGTTTATACCATCGTGATTTATTAATCTGAACATTTTAACATCAAAAAGAAAAATCTAATTTTGAAAACAAAAATTTAATTCATAAATGATAAAGGACAAACACACATACTATCAACAAACAAGTGTGTATTTATATACTTTAGGATGATATTAAGGTTAGATTATTTAATTAACATTTTGGCCTGGATATCGTTTTGGGCCGTTGGATCTTTTTTATAAGGTTATATTTAATCAGAAAAAATCATGGGCATTTGATGGGAGGTAAACGTTTAAGCTCTGATTTAAGAAGGAAAAAAAACAAAAATAAGCAAATAAGCAACATGTTCGAAAATTTAGGTCCGACTCAAAAGCTGAGCGGAATTCGACCTGGATTAGTGCCTGGGCAGAAATTATGACCTGGCCTATATTTGTATTGGAGAATAAATTTGGGGCTAAAACTCAAAATTTTACGTTTTGCCCTCCGTTGGAGATGGCCTTACCTCTTCTTCTATCTCTCCCATCACGCGAGAAAATTATCAAAATGAGTCATTTTTTAATTATTTCTACAAAAATTGGAAAAAGGATTTGAAGGCCCTTTTAAAATGAGTCATTTTTTTTCATGATTCCCTTGTTTATTTGGCTACATGTAAGAATGCAACAGAATAAACCTAAACCTCAAAAAGTGCCAGAAAATTTTACCCTTGAAATTAACACTTTTATTCTGGAACAGGCTCACCACGGTGACATTTTCACTGCTTCCTCTGAGTTACAAAACAAGGAAAGGAAGGGATATAAAGCTTTTATTCTTAGCGAATTAGAGAAATATTTACATCTCAGTTTTGGAACTCATTTAAGCATCCTCGTTAATTGCAGAAGACTTGTTGTTGGAGAGAACTCTAGATATGGCCCTTATGGTGTTTGGAGTTGTCCTGCAGCAGCCTCCGAATAGAGAAGCCCCCGCCTCACGCCACTTGCCTATCACTATGTCTGCAAACTCTTCATCGACCGCCCCGCTTGATTGCTGCAATCGAAAATTAACATGCATTCAGAATTTTTCAAGACCATGGAACAATTTCAGACCAGATTTCATACGCTTGACAAGAACTTGCTACTCTTTCTATGGTGAGTATTTTCAACAACAATCAACATGATCAATGGTGCAGATTCAGAGTCTTGCAACACAAGTATTTTCTGTAAAAAGTAGGGAGACTCACCACCCATTGCTTGGTCAGACCATCATAAGTCTCACCACTGTTGGGGTATATGACTATTGGTTTGCTTGTAACCTGCAAATTAGATGGGAACAGAAGAATTTTTTCAGAAGTTCAAGGGGCTAATTGAGTATATAAATTAATAAATTGACCAAAAATCAGACCTTCCGAATCGATGAAACCAGTCCATGGATGAATCTAGGAGGTGTGCAGTTGATTCCAACGGCAACAACTTGCTTGCATGAATCTGCAATAGAGGCGCACTCTGAGATCGAATCGCCACTGACCACATTGATTCCATCCTTAGAATTGAAGGAAAACCAGGCTGGAATGTCTATTCCTTCTTCCTCAAGCAACTCAGCATATGCCTGCATCACATTCAAGCAAGGAATTTAGCCCAAACCAGACTGGAATTTTCCATGTTCTTGTCTAAACATGACTGAAACACCCTCATGAGTTATATTTTTCCCATCAATAAACAGGGCATGAGCCTAATTCAAGATGCATGTGGCATTTGGACAACAATGGGGCATGATATGCCTTAAACATATTATGTTTCACATAGGCACAACTAAGGGAAGAAATGGCATCTACCTTTGCTTCTATCTTATTCGGAGTTGTCTCGAATGCAATAAGATCAGCACCCGAGTTGGCCAGAATCTGTACCCTTTCCCTGTGGAAATCCTTCAACGTCTCTACAGTAACTGCATCACCGTAGTTCCCACTGCAAAACGAAAACAGCAAATTCAGTGTAGGAGTTCAGCTAATCATCTAGGAACATAGGAACACAACCAGGCCAAAAAAAATGAACCACAAACCATATAAAACAATGCACAAGAAAATAACACATGCAGGGGTGCTTCCATTTTCTTGTTCCAACTACAAAATCATATGCTGAAACATTCAGGAATTTTTTAGGGTCCTATAAATTACCATTGCTCAGAAATCTAGCTATTGCTTTGTAAATTAATTTGGGTTCAATGAGTGAAAGTTTTATGGATCACTGAGTTCACTGACCTATACTCAGAGCCATCAGCCAAGTATGCCCCATAGCTGCCCACAGATGCTGCAACTAGAACTGGACGTCTTGATTGCAATTTGTCATAATAAATTTCCCTTGCCTCAATTGCAATTTCTACACTTTTCCTAAGCAAGGCTTTGGCTTCTTCTTTAGAGAAACCTTTGGCCTCAAAACCCTGAATGGTGGCCTGTATCACAGAAAATATAACAACATAATTAACTTTGTTATTAAAAAACAATTATAAAGTAATGAGGTGGGATAAACAAAATTAATTACCTGATAAGACGCGGTTATTATGACGTTTGCGCCAGCATCAAGGTAGTCCAAGTGTACCTGTGTGGTTTTGGGTTTTTTTTCACTAAAGTTAATAGAAGAAAAACGAAAAAATATTCTTCTAAAACACGGCACGAAAATGAATATTTGCAAGGATTTGTAGCTCAAATAGTTAAAAGAATTTTCAGAAAAAAAAAATATTCACATTCCCCTCTTTTAATATCTTAAAAAAAGAATAAATATTTGATGGGCCTAAGCTTTGCCGTGCCCATAAGGATATGAAATGGGATTAGACTTTAAGATGGCCCAATATTTTAGACCGTCATTAATATTTTTTTTATTAATTGTTGCATGAAAAGACAGGTGTCAGATCTGAGTTGGATATTTGTGCTTTGCCACGTTGCTGTCAGAAGCTGACGTGCTTCACTTACTATAATACAACCTAGAATGACTCGGCTCTCATCTTTAATCGAGATTATAATACAGACACCCACTAAAGATATATATATATATATGCATTAAAATACATCTCAAGACAGAAAAAAATATACTTTTAGTTTTAGAATATGATTTATTTTATTATTTTGAAATAGCAGCAGATTAATTTACCTTATCCACAAAATGGAAAAAGAGGAAAATAGAAAGAAATTATTCTGCATTTTGAAGAAAAAATGATGGTCTTTTAGCAGCAGATTAAGTAAACATGCGTGACGTTTACTTATCAGAAAGGAGTATTAAAAAGAGTTAAAATTATTTCAGTTCTTAATTTCCCCACGTTTACTCACATCAAAAAATGCATAAATCCCACTCTCCTTCCTCGGAGTAAATAAACATACTATTTATTTCCCTTCCAAGTAAGTAAACATGTCATGAATGCAATACAATATACATAAAGTAGAGGATATTATTGCGCCTTTATTCGCATTTCTTTTTAAGTTTTTCCCTTTACGGGATTCTAGAAAGAAAAAAAATAAGCAAGCAAAAGAGCAGAGAAAAGATTTAACCAAATATAAAAATAAAAAAGTGGAGAATAGGGCAACTGAAGAAGTACCCTTTCTTCACCCCAAAAAAGAAAAAAGAAAAAAAGAAGTACCCTTCTGACGAGGTGAGGAGAACTGATAAGGCATTTGGCGCTCCAGAGAGGGTCGTTGAGGTCAGCTCCATGTCGTTCAAGCTCAGTGGCAAACCCACCGTCAAGAACAGCATAGCCACCACACTTTTCCAGAAAATCACTCACAAACGACGACGTTTCCTGTCCTCCTCCTAAGCCCATGGTACAAGGAGTAAAAGCGGAACAGAGAAGCACTTTTGGCTGCTTTGCGTTGTAGCTGAACTTGAAGGGGCAGCCGAAGTTCTTTATGAATCTTTTTTTGTAACTAATGAATGCGGCCACCTTCTTGAAGCGTTTTGTAGAGGGAATACAATGAAGTGGAATTACTAATATGCCCCCCACCTCCCCAAGTTGTTTAACCAAATTTATGATATTCTTTCTAATCTAATCTTGATCGTATTTTTCTTTTTTGGGTCTGACTTTACAACCGTGACTCTGTGATATTCCCATAATAAAGGGTCTAGGATCAAGGAAACGTGACATAAAGATTAGAGTTGATATTACGTAATGTGGGATATGAGTAGATTTGTTAAATAAATAAAAAGAAACAAGGCTAAAAATATAAAATTAAAATTAAAATTTTATTGTTAAACTGTGAATTTGAATCGCATATTCAAATAAATTACCGCAACATAATTAAGCAAGAGCTTAATTACATTGAAGGATCAAGATATATACGCTAAGCGTTCCAACTAATACACTAATCAACTCCAATCGTACACTTGGAGGATTAGGCAGCACCATAGCGTATGGGGGTACTAAAGGACAACCAGGAAAACAAAACGAAAATGAAGTTTGTTGGCAAAGGATATCGACATTTGTTCTTATCACCACTTGACACAACATTTCGTGTTGAAAATTCTTTCTGATCAATATAAAGAAGCACTATCCTCACGTTCCTGTCTTACATTTTCAAACATCTATCTAATTGCAAGTTAACATGTTTTGATTGGACTGAACACAAAGTGTGATCGATAATGGGGCCTTGTATGATTAGAGTGGACAAATTTTTTTAATTGCATGCTTTTTATCAAATGATATATTAACTTTTCTCGAAGGAATTGTTGTGTTCTTGGTGGGTTTGTTTTAGAATTGTTGTGGAGCTCCCTTTTTTATAATTCTCGACGGAATTGAAAGTGCCCCCTTCTTCAGCATATTATTTTCCCACTAACGAGCTTGAGGGTATGACTAATGTGTCTATATAGTCCACTAGATTCAAAGATCTTATTTATGAATTGACACATGCATGAACTTGGGATTTTGGAGTCACCTGTGAACATATATATATTATCTCTAAAATCTGGACACAAACAAATTGGAAATCATTATCTTCTTTAATCCACCGATAAAGATTCAATCAAAATAAAATTCTCAATGAAGACATGGTTTTAGTTAGGTTGGCTAAAGCAAATATGCTTTTCATTATGCATTTAAGTTCGAATTCCACATAGTTTATATTATATCAAAGAAAAATGTCGCTTGTATAAAAAATTATAAAAAAATCTATTATGTTTTTTTTTTCTGGGGAGGGGAGTGTTCTGAGAATATGCACATGGTCGATTTGACGTCCACATTCTTGACAGCATAGAATAAGGAACAATTCTCCTGCTGCTGTTTGCTTTTGCACTGTCGCATGGAATCCAATAGAAGATAGAGTCTGGGTTCATTGTGGTGCTTTATTTAGAAAAATATAGTTATATTTCATGGGGGTTTTCTTTTTATGAATAAGGTGCCCTACCTCAAGGATCTTAGATTAAGATAAGGTGAAGTGGTAGAGGGTGCGAATATGGAGAATGACAATTATTTAACTAGTGCAAGTGGAGACACCCACCACTTCCAAAAGGGTACGGTGAAAACAAACAAATATTATTCGATTAGGTAAATAACAGGACGTCGTATCGGCAGCAAGGACAAATCTTCTTATCATGTTTTTAGATAGTGGCATTCACAACATGAAGATAAAGGATGTTTTTAGATAGTAGCATTCACAACATGAAGATAAAGGATGATTTGTTTACCAAATGAGAAGTTAGTACAGAAAAATATAGGGACTGTTTTCTGTGCTATCGTATGAGTAAATTCAATTAGGTACGCATTTATTTCTCTCACCACGTTACTTATCACACGAAGAGAAAATGAGGATTTGAACTTGAAACCTCCTTTAAAAAGTAGAAAAATATTAATAAACAAATAGTTTGTTGGTATTATTGATACATCATTGATTTGGTAAATAAATTTGATGAATAACTTTGATAAATAGGAGCAAACATGATTCCGTTCGATGCACTCCACCTCAAAATCACTAACTGTCGCACTTAGGAGTCGTAATCACTAACTATCAGTCATACATACACTCTTTCAAGTGAAACTTTTCCCTTATATTTTCATAATAAAGATGTGTATTTTTAGAGTGTAAACAACAACTCCCTTATAAAATATACCGGTTAGCTTCTGTTCATAATAATTGGCATTGGTTCCACTTCCACCACTACATAGGAACACATAAGCAACCACAGACGACAAATGAAGGTAGGTTCATCCTCATCCATCACCAAATTAATCCGACTACAATTCCACTTGTGTTATATGGCAAGCGCATGACATGAGAAGAATATATGCTGTCACCTGTGAGATGATGATCATACAAACAAGCTCTTTTTAATTGGTGTTCAAATTGATAATACTAGAATCCCACCAAGCTGGTGCATCTCTTCATCTTTTTCTCTCTTTTTCCTTCTGTTTGCGCTTGAATTGTTTTCTATCCTTTCCTGTCACCCTCTCCACCTCTAAATGAAAGGGATGTGAGCCAAACATTTGCTTTGCTTGTGTGTTGCTCAATGCCGTAGAATTACATTCTTGCCCACATAACAGTCCTTAGCATACTTATTGTGTCCAGATTAGTTTTTAAGTTTCGTTGCTAATTAGTATATGTATTAAATGAAAGGACAAAAGGCCCAACAAACAAATGCAAATCTTGTCGTTTAAAAATCAACAACATACAAAAGGCCAATCAAATATATAGGAACATAGCAAATGCTACAAAACCATATATAATACAGCCCCTAAATACGTTTCAATAAGCTGCTCAACTTGTTTCCATCCAGTCACTGCTTGTTTGTTCCTAGGCGACGATTCCCTCGGCTCTTTGTCATGTGCAACAACGCATTCAATCCCAACTTTCGAAGCTCACTATCGAAACAGACCCACATCACAAATACAAGCTGGAAAATCAGATTGATGCACAATTCATAAACCTTTCTTTGTTCATTCACTAAAGAAACAACTTTGAAACTAAGAGGCAAGGCTGCAACTGCAAGGATATCTGGAAAGAACTTTACCATCCTTTTCTTTTCCTTTCTTTTTCTTTTCAATCATCTTTCTGGCAAGAAAATAGCCGATCAATTTCCTTCGGCAACAGGAACAAATCAAGATAAAAAGCTCAGGGACCACGAGTAGGGGCAAAACAGAAACAGCCCGGAGAACGGTCTTCAGGTATCATCCCACCTCCTTTACTTGTATCAATTGCTTCCAACATTCTCACCACCTCACCCATTTCAGGACGTTTATCTGCATTTGCGTCCCAGCACTTGCGCATGATGTTTGAAAAAGAACTCGGACAGCATCTGGGGATTTCTGGCCGTAAGTTCTGTTAACAAACCATATAGTACGTACAATGAAACGCCCATGAAGAGTTAGATGTCAAATCTTCGACTAGGTTTACAACTTCAATCTTTACAAAGACCGCCACAAAAGTCCATTCATTAAGACCCTGGTAACTCAACTAACTAAGCCTCGATCTTTGGAGTCTTAGACCCAACCAACAGGCAGAAAAGTACAAGATATGAGCTAAATCATTTCAGATTTTTCTTATTTTGGTCATTGTCAGCAGAGAAGAAAAATAAATAAACGTTTGCTCATTAAATGAACAGTAAGCAGTCTTATAAAGGCAGATAACTTTAAACTGGGTGACCTAACTTAGAGATTTGGATTTTGACAATGAAGCTACATTTTATTGGAAAAGCAACAAAAATATTGAATTCAATTTATTTCGAAAGGCAACTATGGAACATTTTGAATTTGAAATTATCAGATACAATGAATCATCAGAAATATATATATGCACAATGCAAATACGAAAATTCATGTATCATGCAACTTTTTACATATAAAACATAAGCCAAAATCCCTAGATTTGAAATCCCACATTTCAAAAGGGCCTTTAAAGTTAAACATGGACAAGTCAAACTCTAGATCATGCCAGTTTTCCTTGTATTTATATAACGTAAAGAGATATTTATTTATTTCTTGAAAAAACTGACCTGTCGAACAACTGCAGATGATACATCAGCAAAGCTAAGGTCCGGGTAAGGCATATCGCAGCAATAAACTTCCCATAAGCATATGCCAAAGCTGTAGACATCGCATCTTCTATTATAAGGCTTACCATCCAGAACCTACATATATATCTTGTCAGCTTAATGATTTACCACTTAAAACCACACATGCTATCACACGAATTAAGAGAACTACAGAGAGGAGAGAATAAGAGAGGTTTTTCTTTTCACGCCCAATAATGTACATAAAATTTTTTTCTTCTCTTTTATGTAGGTATTTGTAACAAGCTAACAGCACAAATGATAGTTTTACCATATCACAAGGGGAACACAATATCAGAGTCCCAGACAAAACCAACCTCAAACTCCATAAAGAAGAACCATCTTTAGCACCATATGCAAGATGGAAAACATAATTCAACTCAATAGTATCTCCTTGTTGCTTCTTTCCTTTTTTTGGAATATATAATTAACCCCCATAAACTTTAGGCCAGTCCCAATGTTCCCCTAAACTTCTAATTCTATCAATTAACACACGTTAAAATGGAGGGACATCTCATGTGCCTTTCACATGGCATTAAGGAAAGCTCTCAATACAGACTCATGTGACGTGCCTCTCCTTCCAACGAGCACCGTAAGGCAGGTCACCACATGGGCAACTACGGTGGCCGCATCATCCCACACCCACATAACAGGTCGTTTGCTATGTTGGTGGCAAAACCAACATTGTCGTCAACTGCCGCACGTTCTTCTTTTCTTTTATCATAGCCATAAGCCCTTCTCCCTCTCTAGCCAACTCGCTCTAAAACCCTTCTCAAAGGTTGGCCCTTCATGCTCTAAGTATCAGCTCCAGCCAATGACCTGGACTCCTAAATCTTTATCATCGGCGATAAATGCTTTGATAACATGATCCACAATTACTATCCTGCAATCCTCAATTCTTGAACTAAAC